ACATATATATATATATATATATATATATATATATATATATGCATTCATAGCAGTCAATTGTTAGCATGAAAGAATAACACTTGTCATCTAAAATTTATTCCTAATGGCTTCTTTAGGAATCAAACAAAAATCCAATAAACTCTGCATGTTTCAATACCTGGGAAAAGAAAAAGGAAAGAAATTGACAAATCAAACGAAACATCCAGTAGGAGATAACCTCAAAACTTCAAACTTGCAGAAAACAACTGGACGAGAAAAACGATCAGATGAGAAGATTTTGGAACCTGGGCCTTGTTGAAGAACACTTGGTTCTTCTTGTGCATGAGAATCTCCGCTTCTCCTTCCTTGACGACGGTATAATCACTGAGATCCGTTTCCATGGCTCTCTCACAAACCAAAAGTACACAAATTTAACCTCCGTCGGGATTTATAAGCTTGGAACCCGCAAGCCCGGCAACAAATATACGTCTAGAATTGATCGATAGAGATTTGGAAGAACCCTATATTTCCTGACTCCTCGAGTGTTTCAGAGGAAGAGAGGGTGTGGGTTTGTGCAGGAAGTTAATAAAACCCTACAACTAAAAAAAAATGGCCCTTTTTTCAAATTATATTTTTTTGGCACAATTCCATATTAATTTATGCAAAAAAAAAAAAACAAATGACGCATGTTATAGAATTGAAGAATCTTTTGGAGATTGCTTGAACACGGAATTTTATGCCGTGAAGATTTGGCAGGCTTTTAAGATAAAAATATGCATACATTAATCAAATTGATATTTATCACAGATGTACGATTGAATATATATAATATATATATATAATATAGCTATTGAAACTATTATAATGCAAATAATTTTTTTTACTATTCACTGTAAGGGCAAAAAAGCGACATCTTTCGATCCAATCCAGTGTCCACTTTACTCACCATTCCTTAAAGCCATGATTTCATTTGTTCATGTTTTGGATGCTTTGGGTAAAAATGATCACAATAAGAGATGTGGGGTCAGAATGAGAACAATTAAAAGATCAGAAACCCAAAAAGGTGGATTCACCTAAATGCGTTTTAATTACAACAACTCTTCAAAGCAATGACCAAAGTTAGAAATTGGAAAAACGCTCTAACCAACTGAGCTAATGGGCCAGTTGGATGTTCGCTATACATATAATATATTCTTTCACACAATAAGAATGCAGAATATTAAATGGAGCGAAATTGCTGGTTTCGCGGTGGGAACTCTGATTCTGATTCTCGGCGCCACAATCGCTGCTCTCCTAAAGTTGATGCTTTCATCGCCGCTTCTGAGAGAAGGTGATTTTGTACTTCATTTCATTACATCGATGGTTCTGGCTAACTCGTGTGTTTTTTTCTTCCGAGTTGCTTTTCATGTTCCAAGTGAAACCCATGTCGTAAAATTTCGGGTTTCTTCCTCAGAAATTTGGGATGAACATGTATCTTTTTCTTGTCAGAGTTTATGCGAGTTTGTTTCTGTTGTGACTGTAGGAGATTGTATGGATTGGCGATGAATGTGGGAAAATCTTGAACATGAAAAATCAAAACGAGAATCGTTTGCATGATTTCTGGATCGGTCTTGCAAATGAGACTAACTGGGTATTGGAAAGTTTCCTTCTTTTCCCACAAAATTTGCATACCGTATGCTGAAATTGTCAGATCACAGCCTTTGCGATGTATCTACAAATAACAGGCTTCCAAATCACAGAGCTTGCTTTGTTGCTAGTTTTCCTCAATTTCAAGTCCCAATTTTTAAGTTTCTTCACAGTTGATAGTATACTGCTCAAAGAATTTCAGTTGTGCTCTGGCTATGTGTTTTTTTATGCATCAAGTTCTGTTATATTTCCTTTGCACATGGGGATTCAGGTGTTGAATCATGCTGGTGCTCAAAGAAAAGCTGTTCATATGGGTAACTATGATTATGCCATTGGAAAATATAGCCTTTGGAAGGAAACAAATAGACGCACAAGCATCTCTAATGTTTGATGATGTCGTTAATGGCTTAGATTAGGTCAGAAAACCAGTAGACATAGGGGGATCTGCATGGCTGCAACCAGGCTAGATTATAACTTTGTCGAAATTATATAAATCTGTGATAAACTGTTAGTAAATGAATCCACCTTTTGTGCCAAAGACTCCCATAATCTCATTTAGTAACAACTTTGCATGATCTTTTTACGGAGAATGGCATTTGAAAAACTTGCAGATCTCTCGGAATGTGCGGAAAATGCAGCAATCTTAAGATGGTAGCATGTGGGCGCTGCAAAGGGACAGGATCGATAGAATCGGGAGGACCCTTTGGCTTTGAGTTCGATCTTATAAGAGAGTCATCAGAAAGAAAACCAGTCACATGGAGCAATTGCCAAGCCAAGGGCTGTTTCCCCTGCCCCAAGCGCTCAAAATGCTTGATTCACTGATCAGACACGAAGCTGGTTAATGTATTTGCATGGGCTGTAACCTCCAATATATTATGTTGCAAACTCGTAACCCTTTTGACCACAGATCAAATGAAGCGTTCCTTATCCATATCATAAAGTCTCTTCTCTTGTTCCAGTTCTTGATGGATGTGTTCTTGTTTGAAGATCTTGAGAATTTCTGCAGGTTTAGCTCGTGATCTTCCCGTGACCAAACCACTAACAAGATTAGGTTCATATGTATTGCATGATGGACCAAACGAAATAACCTCTGCACGTCAATGGAACTCTGATTCTTGAATCGAATCTGTAATAACAAAAGCAAAGTTCATCTTTGTTAATTAACAAAGGGAGGGAGGAAATGGGAGGCAGAGATGTTAAATCAAAAGAGACAAGTCACTGATGGGGAAGGAGGCTTTGGCTGAGGCAGCACGCCTTCACCGACAAAAAAATAACAAATGAGAACTCGACACGTGTCCATCAGAGCTCTGTCCTCCCCTTGTTACGTAATTTCACTGTTCAGATTCCGCCGTCTGTGACATTGTACGGACCTCCCACGTCACCTGATCGTTCCTCTCGTTTATAAGATTCTCTGCTCAGTTAGTATACACTCTCATCTCAACACCCTTTTTTTTTTCATTTTGATTGTTTTATATTTTTACCTCACATTTATTTTTATAGCGTTTCGTAAATTTTTTAATTCTATAAAAAAAATAGGGGGAAAACCAAATCAATTTAAATTATTTTGTCCATTGGTTGTTGCATGGCAGTTCGTTTTTTCTTTCAATTTTGTGGGTGACATCTAAGTTTTTACTGATATACTGTCTACTAGCTGATGATATATGTATATGTATGTATGTATGCATGCATGCATGCATATAAGATATCAAATATGCCCAAACAATAAGGTCTTGAATTACGGCTACGTACGTTTATTGCTTTGCCCTAGTTGGATTCACCTAAATGCGTTTTAATTACAACAACTCTTCAAAGCAATGACCAAAGTTAGAAATTGGAAAAGAATTAGAGATTTCTATTTCAAGAACAACATTTTTCTATCCAAGATTTTCTTGGCGCGGAGGAAAAGTCTAATTTTCTTATTATTGGAAAACGTCATAAAGGAGTGTGTAATTCACAAATAACTTGTTTTGCATGGTATATTTCTCATGCATGTTATTTTCCACGTAAATATATGTAATAACTCTACGTAAACAATTAGATTAGATGTTCCGCGCCTAAATTTTCTCCGATGCATAAAGCTTACCAAAATAAATGATCATTTGAAATAATTTTTTATTATATATTTTATGGAATCTTTTGTTTTGATAAATAATGTGCCACATAAAAACCCTTTGTTTGTTTAGGTTATCTAATTTGTCTAAAATCTCATAATATTATTTTGGTTAAACATGGGGGATTAGAGGGTTTTCGTATTTTTTCTAAAATGGAAAAAGGATTACAAACAGAAGGGACCAATAGGAAGGCGACACGTAAAGATCCGTTTTTAAGGTAGGCAATGCTTTTCTGTGGCATATGAAGACTACTCGGGAAAATGAAGATAGATATTGGTGCTTTCATTAATTGTAGAAACATAATATATATATATATATATATATAATTCACATTTCCACGCGCTTTGTATCTACCACATGCACTTGGTTTCCCCTTCTCTTGCAAGCATTTGTACACTTTAAATGAAATGTAATTTGATTCATGCATACAACAAAACAATATAAATAATGTATATATATATATATAAATGTTTTTGTAATGAAAGAACTTTTAAAATAATGATCAAAGTGAGAAACTAGTTTCTTAAAAAGAGGATGTTTGTTTATGTAAAGTTTAATTATAAAATATTACCGAATTTCTTTTTACTATACATTGTTTAGAGAGAATGATTCCAAATTATGTTTTAAATTAGTTGAAAAATTCCTGTAATATAATTTTAGCTGTTTATCAGGGAAATGTTTTAGATTAAAAATCATGCAAGTCAAATAACCGATTGACAGTTAAATATATATTTTAAATTATTTTTCTTTATATCATTCTTACTATTATATATTTGGTATGAAAATTTTCAACATATGATATTTTAGAAGTCTTTCTCTCTCTCTCACGCACACACGTGTACATCCATATATATATATATATATCGGCAGTGTTCATTTATTTTGCTAGTCATATATAATACATAATACATTTGGTTATATGGGAAAGTAGGTTAGGCATACCAAAAGGAGTGGCCAATATATATATATATATATATATATGTGCATGTATATATGTTTTTATAACCCTAATTCAATTCTAATTGAAGAGAAGTAAAGATATTTTATTTTATATTCATTTTCCTGCTTTGTTTTCCGGAAGTTGTGATGAAATGATTCACTCAATGAATGAGAAGAGCACAACTGGCGTTTGGATCACACGCGCCAAGGGAGAGACTGGAAATGAGATTCTTCTAGTGAGAGATGGGAGGAAAGAAAAGATTAAAGAGAGCGTAGAGAGAGATGTCTGAATGGAAACAACTCCAGATATATCACCAAACCCTAACCTCTCTCACCTCACTCAAATTTCTTATCTTCTTCACCTTGTCTTAGTCTTTAGATTCACGGAAAAGCTTCTTAGATTCAAAATCCCAGAGAGAAAAAAAGAAAAGATCCAATCAAGAAACAGAAACCCTAAAATAAATCAACCCAAGAAGAGGGAAGAATTTCCCAGAAAAAGATACAGTTTCCTCTTCTTCTCCCTCTTTGATTCTCTCTCTTGTTTTCCCTAGGGTTCTTTTTCAAACCCATCTAGCTTTTTTCCCACTTGATTCGATTTTACAGGCAGACCCATATCCCAAAAGCTCAAAAAGCTCAGATCTTTACCCAGAAAAAAAGATATACCCGACTCGTGTTTTGTGTCCGTATATATATATAAACACATCTCATATACCCATATTTGTGTATATACATATAAGTGGAAACTTGGGATATAACAAAAATGGGGAGGGGTAGGGTTGAGCTGAAGAGGATAGAGAACAAGATCAACAGACAAGTGACGTTCGCTAAGCGTCGAAACGGGCTGTTGAAGAAAGCTTATGAACTCTCTGTTCTTTGCGATGCCGAGGTTGCTCTCATCATCTTTTCCAACCGTGGCAAGCTCTACGAGTTCTGCAGCTCCTCCAAGTACGTACATACTCTCACACTCCAATCTCTCTCTATATATATATATGTATATGTGTATGTATATATTATATGCAGATGTGTTTGTTCGCGCCTGTTTTTTTTTTTTTTTTTTTGGGGGAAAAACTCATGTTATTGGTTAGATCTGTTCATAGATCTTTCATCTAACGGCGTGAAAAGTTTCTACTACATAAGCAATTCAACTTTCTGTTTCTTCATGAACTCTTTTTCATCATGTGGGTGGTAAGCTTTGTGTGTGGAACTTTGAAACCAAGATTTATTTTCTTGAAATTGGAATATCATGTCAGGTTTTCTGATTACTTGATTGTTTCTACTGAAACAAAGGGTTTGTTTTTGTTTTTGTTTCTATTAAACAAAAAGTTCCGATCTTGAGTTTCGGAACGTGTTCCCTTCACACGAACTTTCAAATTTTTTCCCCCATTGCTATTTGGATCATTCATTTGCCCATGTTTTTCTTGTTATAGATTTAGATCTCAAAAATATTTCAAAGGGATAATTTTTTGCAATCAATAGCAACGATGATAAACGTTGTACAATGAGTAACATTATCTCAAATCAGAGCCAAATCCATATTAATGTCATTGTCTTTGTGATAAATATTCATGGATTTCAATAAAATAGTGTATATATATGTCTCCATGTTGATGTATATATGTTTATGTATCCATTTTGCTGTGATTGGAGGGATAAAGACACGGATCTCAATAAAATAAGGACCCAATGTAAAAAATTGCGGTTCCATGCATTAACCAGTCTCACCTCATCATGCAATATAAAATTAATCTTAAGCACCGAGAATGGTTGAGATATCAAGAAAATTACTATATTATTTTTCATTTATGAGATGAATTATCAGATTATCAAATGTCAAATCGGATTACGGGTGCCCATTTAAAAACATTGTTAGTTTTTTGGACGTTTGAAATATTTATGGTTTGGATAAGGGATAGATATTATAAGACCGATGGAAATGCGCATGTATAGATATGATAATATATATCATATATGTATTTGATCTATTTGTATCTGAATGCATGGTGATATATATCAACTTCTGTTCTTTTATGTTGCTTGATAAAGGAAAAAACTGGTTATTTAGGGAGGTAAAAGTTGAACGTTAGGCTAGACTGATCATGCATATATATATATATATATATATGCGTGTTATGCATGTGTTTACGCTGGTATATGTATCTGCATAATGATGATTATGATACGTGAGTCTCTGTTGCAGACTCTCGCCTTTTAGCACAGCTGTACTGATCATGTATACATACATACATATATATATATATATGTTCCTTGTTTCTGGAGATAGCTAGGGTTTGCCTTTAAAACATGCCCACTGCTCATTGATCCCTCCCCACATGTAGCTAGGGTTTTCTCATGGAACAACTTCTGTTTGAAGTCCATATCTCTTAACCCTTTCCTTGATTCTTCAGCATGCTCAAGACACTCGAACGGTACCAGAAGTGCAGCTACGGCTCCATTGAAGTGAACAACAGACCTGCAAAAGAACTCGAGGTTTCTCGATTTGATCTAATTTCTCAGATTTTTTGGATATAAAAAACCCTTAAAAAGTGAACCTTTGGCTTAAAAAGTTTTCATCTTTTTCACAGCCCAAATCAATCAATCTTCCAAAAAGTGTAACATACTCTGTCCCTCGATGTTTCAGAACAGTTACAGGGAGTATCTGAAGCTGAAGTCCAGATATGAGGGTCTGCATCGTCAACAGAGGTACATATAAACTACGTACTTTACATGCATCATGCATATAACTGCTGTACATATCTGTGCGCGGTTTTATATATAACGGTGCCTTTGTGTATATATATGTATAATGCAGAAATCTCCTTGGAGAGGATTTGGGACCTCTGAACTCAAAGGAGCTTGAGCAGCTTGAGCGTCAACTAGACAGCTCTCTTAAGCAAGTTCGCTCCATTAAGGTAATTTCCATATGTAATCTCTATACTGAGACAAATTGTTATAGACATTACAACTGATGTCCAAATTCATATGATTCTGAAACAAAGACTTCCTAGATACCGTACCCAAGTGACAAGTAAACGACTAACTCCTGAGTGTTTGTCTACTGAACGCTGTGTCGAGACATGTTCAAGAGTAGATGCGAAAATTTTCCATTGCTTCTCTCGTTTAATGAGATTAAGCTCTTGCAAATACGTTTATCGATTTTCCAGATGCGGTTTTATAACTTTTTTTTTCCATATGATCGATTGCAGACACAGTCCATGCTTGACGAACTTTCTGATCTCCAAAACAAGGAACAAATGTTGCTTGAAGCCAATAGAGCCTTGTCAATGAAGGTACCGTACATATGTTGTATTGTGGTAATTCTTTTAGAATATTCTCTATATATCTGATATTTTGCTGTGTCATTTGAGATCTTGTAACTCAAGAGTATGTATGAAAGGTGTCCTAAAAGTCTATCTCTACGTCGTATCTTCAACATAAATGGCTGTGAATTATGCTTGTGCAAGTGAAATTTTTCGCTGGCTTTATGGCGGTGGAAATGTAATTATACAGCTGGAAGAAATGGTCGGAGCAAGAACTCATCAATTTGGAGGGGCATGGGAAGGGAGTGAGCAGAACGTTTCGTACGGGCACCAGGCACAGTCACAGGGACTATTCCAGCCTCTTGAATGCAATCCGACTTTGCAAATCGGGTAAGCAAAGCATCCTTGTTCTGACATCTGCAGTTCAAGTTCTGTCTTCACAAAAACACCCATGCTCTACTACCTTGTTTAAGTTCTGCCTCATTCGCCGTTTTGTAGCCGAGAAACGCAGTCATTTTTATTGTTACCAAAGAGGACAATGCATTAAGCTTTAATGGAGCAGACATTTAACAGTTTGTCTAAGCAGGATTGCCATTGTTGTATATACCTTGAAAACTATATATATGTTCTTTAAGAAGTTCACAACTGTTTGGCTATGCTGCTTTGAATATGAACTTAATATCCAAAAAAGGGAAACTTGTCAAAATCCTCGGATCTGGTTTGGTTTCAGATTTTGATCTGCTGTAAACTCGTGTTATTTACTACTGTCAACATCTTTGATTCAGTTATTTTTACTGTGTATACATTCTCCTTTTGATTTCTTCTATGGTAACCCCAAGCTGTTCATGTTGTGGTAATAAACAGATACAATAATCCGGTGTGTTCAGAGCAGATGGCTGCAACAACACAAGCTCCTGTCCAAGCGGGTAACGGCTACATCCCTGGTTGGATGCTCTGATGCCGAGACAACCTCAAAGAACCTTAAAGATCTGAAAAAAGACAGAATGGATTTTTTTATGGTGAAGAAGACTACTTGTCTATGCAATTTGACTGCTTCAAAGGTATATATGTACTGCTATATATCCTGTTTCCATATGCATAAGTCTGGATTTGTAGACAAAAGTGGCCTAAGACTCTCTGTTCCTGGATTTTAATGTTGTGTGAAATGTCCTGTAAACTTTTAACATTTTCCCGGACTGATATTCTGTTCTTATCTAGAACTTAGCGCTTTCCTCTGGATGTGGTATTGGCATCATCTGCATATTTATGTGCAGAGACTGCACTCATAACCACAAGAACATTGAAGAAGATCATGTCTTGGTTCGCATACTGTTTCTGATCATTTAACGTCAGTGACAGTATCAAAGGTTAGCTATCGGTAAGCTTCTTGCAATGGACATCAAACCAAACCAAACCAAGTTAACAGTTCTGAGCTAAACAGGGAAAGAGCTCACTAAGAACACTTCATCGTACACAGATTTATTCCAAGGGTTTCTGCAACCACATACAAATGTATATTACAGTTATTGGCTCTCACAGGAGAGTCTCGCTTTTGAGGAAGACCTTTTGGTTCAGCTGAAACAATGGGGCTTTTTCTGGTTTTTATACATTTATGATTTGGTCAACTATGATATAACTTACAAGATTAACAGTCCTAGAGTCAGGTCGGCAGATCCTTAGAGCCTTCCACCGCATGTTTCATCTTCCTCGTGATCAAGGTGGCCAGCATCAAGCAACTGTTCCCTGGAAAGTGGAAACACGTAATTCACTTGTTTAGCTTTGCATTCTTTCTTGTGTTTGAAAATGCAGAAGATCAAGGATGCATAGAGAATTCAGAAATTTGTGGCAGCTTTCCTGGTTTAGAGTCTCACTAAAAATCGGTGATCACAAAGTTTTGCAAACCAGAACTCACGGGTACTGTTCTTTAGGTGGGTAAAACCGGTTTAGTCAGATTTTCTTCATGGTTTATAAGGGAACTATTTAGATGGAGATATGCACAACATCGGTACACAGAATCAAATTCTTGAGTTTCAGAAGGAAGAAAGCAACTTCTTTCTTGGACATAGCGTGCTTCATGAGCAAATACCCGGAAAAACCAAAATCTGCTTGCACAAAAAAAAAAGGAAAACCTTGCAAGTTCTCTGAGATTCTTTTACCTGAGTCTTTCGCAGAGGCGGGCTAAAGCTTCAGACCCCATCCTAGAGGCAACATCCTGAATCTTCAAAGCATTTGAGACTGTCACACTCTCTGCCAGCTGAAATTCACACAGCTCCTTCAATGAGAATGCATCGGTTAACACAGCCGAATGCCCACCTCCTGCTGCTAATTTCCTCACTTGTCCTACACACCTGACAGTGTATCACTTCCATTAATCTAACTTGGAGCTAAACAACTCAATCTCTCAATGCTTGCATCACATTCAGTATATTCCTTTGCTCAGTTAAAGATAACGAATCTCAACTACGTTTTCCCAAATGTCTATGCAAATAAATAATCTTTCCGCAAAAACCGTAACATCCTTTAGAGATGGAGATTGTGTAAGTAATTTCTAATCTGAAAAGGACCTGGCTTGGGGCCATACCAGTCAACCGGAGATGGGAACCAAGCATACGAGGATTTGTCATTGGCTGCCTGACCATAACTATTGTAACCCCACCCGCGAATCCGTCCATCTTTCATATAAACGAGGGTGTGAGAATGTCCACAAGCAACAAGCTGTACATCGATTGGGATGACTAAAGCTGGGACATTGCGGAGGAGCATTTCGGTCCCACCCAAAATGCATGAAAAGAAACCAGATTGAGGGCCCAGGCCTAGCTGCCCTGCTTGGCCACCGCCCCAAGCATAAAGTGCTCCATCGGAAGATAAAGCACATGTGTGAACACCGCCACAAGAAACTTCTTTCACACACAAACTATCAAGCCCAGCCACTCGCCTTGGTATTAACTCTTTATCCCCGACTTGAAGGGAAATATGCCCAAGTTGACCCATGCTTCCTAGTCCCCAAGTGTAACTGCAAAATTTAGCGGAAAGAAATTAGCAGTGGGCACTGAATAAGGCAACGTTAACAGGAACAAGATAGTTTCCAAGACAAATTCATGCAAAGTTTTTGCTCCGATGAATCAAATCTACTTAATGTGCTGACACTCAAACTAGCCAAGAGGTGAAAACCCAACATGCAACCAAGCTTCCTCAAGCTGAGAAGAAAAAAGTGGAAAACAGCAATAACTGGGCACAGTTTATTGTCAAAAGGATCAAGTTATTAGCATAAAAAGGATGCTTTATCACAAAAGGAACTGGGTAAAAATGGATTCCACGACATGATCAAGCCAAAGAGAAGGAGACTTGCATAGTCGAATGTCAGGATGCATATCTGTTTCCTGAAGCATCCCCCTGTCTGCTTGCTAGGATGCGAAATATCCCCATCAGTAGATTTTCCCCGACCCTTCACATAGAGTTTACTCATTCCATGTGGAAAACCACAGATTTTTTCAAACCTAAATAGAAAACACCTCAATCTAGAAAAAGGCCTTCAGATAACTTACACCTCGCCTTTTTCAGATACAGCAGCAGTGTGGTACTCCCCACATGAAATTTGAGCAATCTTCACAAGCTCGGGGGCTTCATCAAGGAATTTGGCATACGCAGCTATCAGACGAGGTGCCTGTAGTCCTTCAGAAGTGACTCCTCTACCGAGTTGGCCATGTTCATTATAGCCTTATTCCGTGAAGGACAGAAGTTCAAAAGATCATACACCAGCTTAGACAAGAAGAGGTTCGTAAAAATACTCTGGTCTAAATTCCAAATAAACAGTTTAAGATCTTAAAAAGTTATCTCAAAGTTCCTTACCCCAGGCTTGAAGAAGGCCTTCCTCTGATAGAGCCACAACATGAGCTGTCCCACAAGACACTTGTCGAATTGCCTATGACACGGGATATGTTCACGTCCAGTTTATATCAGTTCTAAAACTTGATTCCAATATTAAGGAGAAAGGTGATGTGAATACATACCGTCTCAGCAGGAAAAGCCCCAGAAAATAGACGTGGCAAATTTGATCCCTGTAATGAAAAAGTTAAGAAAACGAAAAACTGTCGACGCAGGAAAAGCCCCAGAAAATAGACGTGGCAAATTTGATCCCTGTAATGAAAAAGTTAAGAAAACGAAAGAAAATAACAGCAACGGAACAAAATCACTCTTACCTGATTTTGGCCCCAAACCCAGAGCCTGCTCATGGATAGAGTTCCATCATTTTCACGGGGTTCTGCAATTGCAGCAGTGCAAAATGCTCCACAGGAGACAGATTTTACAAACTCTGACTGCAGATGCTTCACTTTCTTTGGGCGTTTCCTGCCAACCTCGGTTCCATCCCCAAGCTGACCATATTCATTGGCACCTAAAAATGAGGATTTTGGAAGTGTTAAAAACATTCATCTCATCAAATAAATTTTGGATTTTGTCATAAAAACTTCAAAAAGATTTGGAAGGAAAGGGCATCGAGAAGTGTAAAACAATGGCCGCAAAGGATTACAGGAACACAGTAATCTTTCTCATGAAAACTCAAAATTTACCAAAACAAAAAAACAGAGCCAACTAATAATGCTGAAAGTGACACAAAACAAAAAATGAAAACGGCATACCATGAATCTGTGTTGAAGACACCTTTCAATGAACTATATATCTTTAACAACGGTAAATATGAATCCTATTCATGAAAGAGGAAAGGGTTCAAATTTTATACACCTCCATGATAAACTTCGAGATAACAAAGTCACAGCACCAAGAACATGATACAAGAAGAGAATGGCATATTTCCAGATAACAACAATGCAGAACGAAGTTCATAAGCTAATGACATACTTCTGGATAACATCATCACAGCACCACGAACATGAGATGAAAATACAATGACTGTAATCACGGAACTTTTAGGAAACTCAACCAGAAACAAAAAGAAAACAGATGTTTTGAGTTTATAAAAATCCAAAGACAAACCCCATGTAAAGAGAGATCCATCTGATGCAACTGCAGAGGTATGTTCCCGACCGCAAGCAATATCCAGCCAACGGGAATTCGCACCAGATGGACAGCCAAACAAATCAGGAGGGAGCTGCTTCGGGATACGTAAAAGCTTCTCTTTTCCGTTCCTGCCCGTTTGTCCACTCTGATTATAACCCCACACATATATGGCACTCTTGGTCGGGAGAGTTACAGGGGAAGCAGTTTCACCAATGATTTCGTTGATATCCATTCGTGAATCGTAATCCCCTAAAAGCCTGAAATATATCCACTGCTAACTCAATCGCGTTAAGAGTTTTGATGGGTTTATACTGCTATTTTCCAGAAAGAAATATCGGAAAATCATGCATGAGCTATATCCAGCATTGATCCGATGAAATCCCGAGAAAAATGCACAAGAAGATAATCACACGAGAAAGTGTGAGACTACATTCATCATTATTTATCATAGAAGAAGAAACCGACCACAGATTCAAAACTTTTGACCTGGGAAATCAGCTGAAATGATCACGAATCAAGCAAGATTTTCAATACCCATTCCAAAAGCAATCACAAATTCAATGGAGAGGAAGAAGAATTCGCACATACTTCAAACCCACGACTCTTCCCTGTAGCCAAAGGGAAATCTTGGCATACAACACGCAATACCCATCTCGATTCACGAGAATATAATGAAAATTCACGGATTCGAAAGTTAAATACAACAGACGGAATCGATCCCGGGAAAAAAAAATCTGAAAAGTACCTTGGATACTGAAAGAAACAATGTATGAATCGGTTGGACTGGATTGAGCTTCTGCAAGAGAAAAATCTCAACTTTTTTCCGTTGGTCGTTGTAATTTGCAAACCGAGGGAAGAGATGTAATAAGGGGAGGGGAGAGAGAGAGAAAGAGATTGTTGTTCCGAGAGATCGGGAGCGCTTCCGATATTTACAACACGAGAATCAATTTTCCGAAACTTTACATATAAAGCCTCCTATTTGTTGTTTCTTATGTTACAATCACATACTTTTTATGAACCACTTTAGACCCTATTAGTATTTTTTTTTTGGGCCAATGCTCTTAAATATCATTTTACATGATAGATTACATATATTTGAAATTGTAATCAAATAAAAACAATAATAATAATCTATATAATGTTAGTTTCCCATCCCTTGTTCTGCAATGATGTATATGATAAATTAGGGAAAACACATAAATTTCGACCACCAACTTCAGATCATACTATACTAACAAAGCCAAGCCCAGCAATAATATATCACAAGCTGTCACATGAAACACATGAGCTAATTCATCCAATGCCAGTGATGTAACAAAGGCATGTATTAGAAACACCATCCACATAGAATTACCACAAGCAGCACTGCAACAAATACACAGTGTTCTTCTGGGTTCCTCTTGTGTTTCTTGTTTATTGGGGTTCCTCATAAGGTAACTGTGCAGGAATATATATATGTATATGTATATATATATATATTCATATTTACCATTAGAAAAGAACAATATTCACAAACATAAAGCAATCTACGCATCCCTGCTTCATCTCCTCGCCGATGATCATGGTGTTTCGTTGAATTCCATCACCTGCAAACAACAAAATCTCAGAAAAGGAGAAGACTTTCTGATCGAAACATGAACTATCCTCTGTTTCAGGAAGTGTTTCAATCTTATATTGAGCTCTAGCAGAAAATATTATTCTTCTTCCTCCTATATATCGGACTTTTTTTTTTGGCAGAACATACGGTTTCTGTTCTGTCTTGAAACAGCTACACAAGTTCAGGGTTAATTAAACCTTTTTTCTCTTTTCATGTCAATTGTCTTGAAGATCACAGACCTCCTTGTTCATACTGTTGTTTCTTAAAGAAGATGAAAAGAAAGAGAATCCCCGACGGATGAGAAGGCGAAGAAATTACAGCAGAGATACCGGTCAAAGCCATGGTAGAACATGCGAAAAACAACAGAAAATTCGCACAAAGATTGAGAAGAGAAGTGTTACCTTTCCACAAACAGGACAGTTTTCACTTCTCTCCATCCACTCGTAAATGCAGCCGAGGTGGAAATGATGAGAACACTTAGTAACAATCTTGGGGTTCTCCAAAGTATATTCTGCACACAAAATTGAATGCGGTTTCGAACTTAAACACATTGCTTTTGGAATTTCATATATTTGGGTTTGATGTGAAGAACCAGAGATCGTCCCTGATGTAAAGTACAAAACTTGGCTTAAAGAAAGAAAAGAATCTAGTGATATGCATATCCATAAATGAACAGAAATAATGGCAATGTAATAGAAATATGCAGACGTGAATGAAAATTAGATATGGTTTACCTTCAAGACATGTCGGGCAGACATCTTCATCTTCAGACAATATATACATGCTCTCAGTACCAGCCTTCGTCTTTGATTGCAAGATCCTCAACGTGGATTTAGAGTACTCTTCTTTGGAACCGTCTTCAAGAACAGACTGACTAGCCCGTTTGCCCCCTCCCCCGCCAAAAGATTCAGAATCCACACTGTTATTGCTTCTCAAGGGTTCAGATTCTTCATGGGAATGATTTGAACCCTTCTCACGTCTTGAGACAAGTGAATCACGTGGTGATCGAAAGTACCTAGGATCAGCATCGTAAGGCAGAGGCCTTGGGGTAGAACGGAATGCATCGGACAGAAAGTTGTCATGTGAAGCAGAGGAAGTTATTGATGCCGGAGATTGAAGGGAGGACGGGAGTGAACGGGTTTCCCCTCGTCTGAATAAAGAGATGTACTGCCAAAACAGGGTTGCAAAAAAATCTCACCTTTTATGGATTCGAGCCAGGAGAGTTAACCTTAGTAACAAGCATTTAGGACAAAAGAGTTCAACTAAACCTAACATTGTCATCACTGACGATGAATTGTTCTTACCTGTAAATTCAACTAAACCCGGTAATAAACCCAACCATGAATTGTAAGAGGAAGCACATGAACATACCACGTTTAGAAAATTATGAGCAAGGCACCTCAAGCATGGGCAGTTCCTATATACAGAGCTGCTCGGATTAATGTACTCTTCAAAATCCTCGACCCGGAAACAAGAACAAACACCACCCATCTTCCCAGTCAACTCTTCTTTCCTTTTATGCTAATATGAATATTTCTTATATCATGCCCGAGCCACCAAAGCCATTCACATTACCAAGATTCAACAAAAACTCCTCGATCCTCTCCAACAACGACTGTGAACTTTCTATTTATAGAACTCCCATGGCCCAAAGTATTGGCAGACAAGCTGCTTCATGTTTTCCAAGCCACCTGCAGAGTGAACATGAATGTTTTCCAGTATAAGTAGAGATGCAGTAAAAGATCTCAGAAACGACAAGCTAAAAAACTGATCATGGCTGGAGTCAAACCTCAACAAGTGCATCAAACTCATCTGAAGACACGGAAATCTAATTCCTTTTCGGCAGAAACTGGGAGTTTTTCGATCTAAATCAAATGCTGACATAGCTAACATAAAGGGAGAAAGTACCCGCAAGAACCATTACGAAGTAACTGAAACAATTCCACTATCATTAGCCCACGGAACCCATCTGCAGAACCCGGTGCTTCACTCAGGAGAGTCAGATCGGGGAAGTGGAACGCATGCAATTAACCAATTGAAACCTAAATTAGGTGAATTCCATGAAAAAGTTTAAAAAAATATATGGTAAACTTGTTTCATTAGGAGAAACAGACAGAACCCACTACAGATTAGGCAAAACCCATTCCGAATAACTTCAACGATTAGAGCAAACAGAAGACATGAAGGACAAAAGCTCCGAAATTTGACAAGGAAATGGGCAAAACAAACGCGACCCAAAAGAACGTTGGCAAGAAAGAGAAAACATATGAGATCATACCGATCGGCACCGATCATAACCCATCTCCAATACTTTACTAAGAATACAGATTTAAGGAGAAAACACTAGAATTGAGAGAAAAGTATTAACCTTCGACGGATTGAAAATGATATGCGACGAGGCAAAGAAATGACTGGAAAAGTTCCCCGATCGGAACTGTCGACGAGAGAGAGAGAGAGAGAGAGAGAGAGAGAGAGAGAGAGAGAGAGAGATGGAGACAGAGAGCCGACGAGGGACCCAAAGACGGGTGAAGTGAAATTTCAACTTTTATAAAATGAAAAAAAAGACATAATTTGTTGAGATTCAAAGAGAATTAAAAAAGCAGAATTTTAGGAAAGCGATGAACAGTGTGTAAATGTGTAGTGGTTGCAGAGTTGGGTGGGTGTTGTTATATATATATATATATATATATAGAGAGAGAGAGAGAGAGAGATCAATCCTTGTGCATTTGCATCTAAACCTTTTAACCAAAATCATTTTAAAATCTTATTTTTTTAAATTTTTCTATGAAATTTTTTATATTTTTTGTGTGATTGGAACTCGCAAATGTGATCTTTTGTATCTCCTAATTACTAGTTCCATATAGTAATCCTTATAAATGCTACAACATTAAAAAACTATATAATAAACTGATTCGGATACAAATCTTGAACATTAAAACATAGTGATAAAACATTAGAATATTAATACAAAAAAATACAAAAAAATCTTTTACTAAAGGGAAAATGACATTTTCCTACACTAACTTTGCAAAATGTGACCTTTTCCTACACGAATTTTTAATTTGACAAAAAACTACACCAAATTATCAAATGTGCCAAATTGATACACGAACTACCCGATTTAACTGTAATTTCCTACACAATCCGAAAACGGTGTTAAGTGTCCGTTAACCGCTGACATGGCATGCCACGTGGCGGCTGACGTGGCACACCACATAGATTTTTTGCCACATCAGCATGCCACGTCATATTTTTAAAAAAATTCCGAAAAATATGAAAAAAATCGATTTTTTTTTTAAATTTAAAATAAAATAAATAAATAGCAATATATATATATATATTCATATATATTCATATCTATATACAAATAAAAATATAAATATATATAATCTTATATAAAAATATATAACTATATATATACAAAATAAAAAACATACACATATATATACAAACATCTATACAAATATATATAAATATACATACAAACAAATATAAACATAAATACTTCTATGTATATATATATCTATATATATCAAATAAAAATATACACATATATACATGCATT